GCGCCCCGGAGGTTGGATGCGAGAAAGACCCGTTCTTAAGCTGCTCTGGTGCCCCTGGTCTGCTGGAGACCGTCTCCAGCAGACCAGGGGCACCGGGTGGTTCCCGCGCTTCTGAGGCTTTGCCCTGGCAAAGCCTCAGAAGCGCGGGAACCCGCCCGGTGCCCCTGGTCTGCTGGAGACGGTCTCCAGCAGACCAGGGGCACCGGAGCAGCTTACGAACGGGGCTTTCTCGCCCCGACTTCCGGGGCGAGAAAGCTCCGTTCGTAAGTGCGGATCCGACGTAAGTCGGATCCGCGTAAGTCGGGGACTGCCTGTACATGGCCTCTGGGCATTACTGACTGAAATGTTACTGTAGTTTACCATATAGCTGTAGATAATGGCTATGTTGTTTACTCTCCCACCTTTCTACATTTAACAAGCAGAGCCCAAGCAACATACCTCTTCTTTTTATGGAAAAGTAACTCTTTCTGGTAGACCTGGACTTTCAGCTGGTCATAGATTTGTCTTCCATTGATGTCTTGGCAGCCAGAGAAAATCTCATGTAAGGTGCGAGAGTTACCATTCTTGTTCGATTTTAAAAGACTTTGAGACTAAGTAGGTTGTGCTGTATTTGAAACTTAAATTAACAAAATAACAATCTGGTTACTTTCAGATGACTATTTGGCTGAGATGTGTTTACCATTAACTGACAATCTCATTGTGAGAGCACCTTGATTCTTGTGCTCTTCTCTGGCCCAATTGCTCTAGTCTCCTTGTCTTTTCCCCAAAGTCTTATCTCCACCACAATCACTCACTCTATTTACTCAGTGCCTAAGAATGAGTCTCTCTCTTCTTAAAGTCATGCTGACCGCTCCTCTAAATCTTCTTCCACACATCAGCCTCTGCTTTTTCTTTACATCTTGGGTTCTGTTTTGCAGCTAATTTATTAAGCAGAAACTCAGAATATTTTCTTTGCATGGTATCTTTAATGCTGCTGCCACTACCACATAAGATTTTATTTCTGGGCACTAGCAAGTCTAGCTGGGAACATCTTGAAAAGGCAGTAGGTAAAAATGCGAGCCACAGTTTCTTAGAGGAGGCTTTAGCTACTGCAGATCATTGGAAAAAACTATTTTGGATATAAAAAGAGTGAAAAGTCTTACCAGACATCCCCCTCCACCTCACTGCTGATTATGTTAAATTTATATCAGTTTTGGATTGAATGGCTAGATTTTCAGAATGGTGGCATAATTCCTTACATTTTTAACTCATAAGGTTGAATTGTATAAAATAACAAACAGGATTCATTTTGCATGAGGGTAGAATTTTGTATTTTTTAAACATTAGTTTTTCATGCTTTTTTACTGCTGTTCTATACAATTAAAAACATTAAACATTCAAAAAGTCTATTTGGGAAGTCAGGTTTGAAACCATTATGCTAATTAGTGAAAACACTTTGGATTTGGATTTGACTCAGTAGATTGTACATATCCTTGCTGACTTAAGAGGAGACTGTAACAGAACCATAGTAAAACTCATTGATGTTTGTGATTGTGTGAAACCCTTAGAAATAAACAAAAGGCCAGATTCTGCTCTGGTATAATTCAATCAATTTCTGTGGCCTTATGCCAGTGGACAAATTGGCTCTGGGATTTTGAATATCTTCAAACATTTTTCTTTTTTATTCAAACCATTACTTTTATGGTGTCAAAATTTAAAATCATGGTTTTCTAATTAAATAAAAGCTAGAGCTATGTGGATAGAGCAAGGCTGCATATATACAGACATTGCTGGCAGCAGAGTTTGAATTTGGAAATTTCAGTGAACAGCATAATCCCTTACCACTTTAGCTAGAAGAAATAACTCTAGTTGTGTTGTATGGCTCCGATCCTTAATGGAGCCAGTCACTTTGGGAAGACAACAACATGCACTAACCCATTATATCACAGATGCAAACAAAGCCTCTTATTTGAAAATAATATCTACCATGCCTGTGGGACAACCTCGGGAATTTTAAAAAATTGCAGCAAAGCTCTCTTGTCTGTAATTTATTAATCAGCAAAATGTTGGTGCCTATATTCTGTGAGAGCACCAAGTCAGAAGTGACACCCAGGTTATGGGGGAAGAATGAGGGAAAGAAGATAAGGAGCACTGTTCTGTGCTTAAGGTGTGTTTAAGGTGGTGATAGGCTGAGATACTAGATTGAGTGAAGGGGAGGATGCATCCATAGAGAGGTCAATTTATGAGCCATCAGCCTGAAGATGATAGTTAACCTCTTCCTTGCAGAGGAGAGCACCTAGAGCTAGAATATAGGAGCCGAGGAGCAGGCCAAGGATAGACATTCTTACAGGGGAAGCAGAACCTGGCAGAGATGACACTGAAAGAGCAATCAGAGAGGTAGGAGAAGGAGGAAGAACTGTGAAAGAACAGAGCCTTGGAAACCAACCTTGGACAAAATTTCAAGTACGGGGAAGCTGACATTGCAAAAACTTCCAAGAAGCCCAGGATGATAATGGTGGAGGGGAGGCCCTGAAATCTGGCTAGAATCTAGTGAGAACAGTTTCAGTGGAGCATAAAGGGTGGTAGCTGGATCAAGAACAGAATTGAAATTCAGCAAGTGGTTGCAGACTACCTATTCAGAGTGTTTGGAGGTGAAGGGGAGGAGAGTGATTGGCCTATAGTTTGAGGAGGATACAGGGCGGGTCAATGGTAGGTGTTTAAGGGCAGAGGATTAAAGTGTGCTTTGTATGAGGAGGGCAAGCTGATAAGTGAAGTTGAGAGGAGGAGTGTGGGGAGGAGTGTGAACAGGGGAAGGATATTGCAAAGGGGTGAGGGCTCCTCACCTCTCTTCTGTGTGCAGAGAAACAAAATGGATTCCCAGATAAAACACTTTAGCTTTTTGGGTTACATTTTCAGAAATAATGTTTAGACCAAACAGTCCATATGTTATTTTTGCTCTGAAGGGGGAAAAATCATCTCACTCCAAGAGCAACATTTCCTGCTTATTTATTGTTGTCTTTTCCTGTTTTTTCCCTCCCATCCTACCACACTTAGTATGTTGTCATTTTTGTTGCTGAAACTTGTGCTTTTGGTAATCATGAGGTTAGATGACTAATTAAAACGATGAACAATTTTTTTTTCAGAACTGCTTCTATTACTGGGGATTTGCAGCTTGGCTTGCTTATTACATCAATCATCCTCTTTATACACCTCCTTGTAAGTAGCAAAATGGCCCTGAGAATGATTTGAACCTTTACCTGGGTATATTTGAGTGCTAACTATCCAATCAAACATTTTGTTTTCTAGCCTATGGACAAAACCAGATAAATTTTGCCGTGATCATGTTTCTGGTAGGTCTCTTGCTTTTTTATAATGTATTATTAAAGACTCTCCTTTATTATTCATTAGATTGTAGGGATAGGGGGAAATGTCAGGGATTTTATTACTTGAAAGCTCAGGACATAGAACTAAGAGGATATGTCTACACTACAGTGCTAATTCGAACTAACTTATTTCAAATTAGTTAATTCGAAATATGTTAATTCGAAATAATGCATCTAGACTCAAAAACTAATTCAAATTAGCGTTTTGCTAATTCGAAATAGCATGTCCACACTGAGTGGACCCTGAACCGAAGTTAAGGCTGGACGGAACCAGTGCCAGCAGGGCAATAGGTTAGGACTTAGAGTGTGGAGCTGCTGCCTGAGGCTAACTGAGCTCCATGCTTAAAGGGACCCTGCCCCCACCCCGGACAGACAGTTCTCAGGGTTCCCCGCTTGCTTGTCTACCTCGATGAGGAACAGCAAAGCAGTCCTGTCTTAGAGTGCCCCAAGTGCCCACACTCGGCACATCACAGCACTTGGCCGTCAGCCCGGCTGCACTTTCCGCAGGCTGCCATCTGGAGGGTCCATTGGGGGGCTGTCAGGATTCAGGAGGCCCTGCAGGAGAGCTTCCACTCTGAGGATCCCGCAGAGCCACCCCAGTCCTCCCCATCGGAGGCTCGTGCCCCATTCCTCCCTCACCTCCTTCCGCGTACCCCTCCGTAGCCCCCCTTCCTGATGTAAAAAATAAAGGACATGTGTGTTCAAAAATAGAAACTCTCTTTATTTAACAAAACGGGGGGG